ATATGGGATCCGAACCCGTGGCCTTGGTGTTATCAGCACCGCACTCTCCCAAGTGAGCCGCAGGCCGGCCCACAATTGCTTCGTTTTTAATTTTTTTTTTTTTTTTTTTTTTTTTTTTTTTTTCGTGACCGGCAATGGGATCGCAACCCCCGTTGTTGCGCCCGCACCTCGCTCAGCCAGTGAGCGGCCGGTCTGTATGTGGGATCCGAACCCTCGGTGGGAGCGCCGCCGCGCTCCTAAACGGCGCACTGTAGCAGTGCGCCACCGGGCCGGCTCCACCGGTCATCTTTAAAAACAAACAAACAAACAAAAACCGAACCAATTGTGTCATGAGGTTATAAACTACTAAATCTAGCTGTCGGGTTCACGCACATTCGCTCTATCACTCTACTTTTCCAGTATCCCTCGCTTCTCACCACAGCAAATGCAAACAGGGTACCTTGAGTCTTACCGAATCTGCTCCATGGCTTCCCACGTCAGGGTCCTGGGCGGGGCACCTGGCGGCTCCATTCGTCTCCGAATTTTCTGGAATTGGATCGCTCTTTTCTGTCGTTTCAGGATGCTGGGAGAGAGAACCAATGGCAGAAGCCTTGCGTAGAAGCAAGATGGGTGTCTGGCGAGCCTCAGGCTAAATCACGGAGCGCCTAGCCCTCTTCTCTTTGTTCGCAAGGGCAACCGGGTCCTGTCTGCCGGCTCAGGGCTGCTCTGTACACCACCCCAGAAATCTAACACCTGGAACAACAACTGCCCGTACGCGTGCCGAACTCTCTAAACAGGTGATGAAACACGTCTCTAGTGAAGGGACCGTGGTCCCGAGGGAGCTGAACGCCTACCCCTGCGCCCCTGACAACTGGGAGGAAACAAGGGCCGCCGCGGATGCAGCGGCAGGACGCCCGGCGCTGAGGGGCGCGGCCTGGGACGCCGGGGCACGAGGCCCTGCCTCAGGCTGAGGGCCCGCGAAGGAGCCGGTACCTCTCCACTTCCTGCAGCTCCCGCTCCTCCGGCTCCCAGTCGGAATCGGGGTCCGGCTCGCGGCCGACAGGGCCCGGGCCCGCCACCTCCCGGGTCGCGAACCCACGGCGAGCGACGGCAGCGCGGACGCGCCCGCCCAGCAAGAGGCTCAGGATAACCGCCATGTCGACGCAAACAAGCCCTCAGCAGCCGGAGACGCGGCAGCACCGGAAGCGGGGCGCGGACCCGGAAGTGGGGGCCGGCCGGAGGCGGGCGTGGTCGCGAGTCTTCCGGGCTTCGGGGGCGGACGGGGAGATCTGGGCTTGAACTGCTTCGCGTCTCCCCCTTCCAACCTGAGTGTGGAGAGGGCTTCCCTGAAACGCGGGGGCCGAAAGGAGATACAGGACGCGCCTGGAAAACGGCATAAACTTTAATAAAAAGACGGATTCACTGCCGAGAGCCGCCCTTCCTCTCCACAGGCGGCCCAGGCCTGCCTGTCACCGCCACCCTCTGCGGTCTTCCTGACGGCGACAGCCCCGTGCCTTAGGCACTTGGCTCCAATGGGAAAGGGACTCCTTGTGGCCGGGGTGACTTCCAGCCCCGGGCCGTACCCAGGGTTCAGACCCACCAACTAACGATAAACCCAGGCTAAGGCTTGACAGGCGGAGATGAGTACGCGGCCGGCCTTGGCTCATCTTCATATTGTAGTCTTTACCGATCCCAAGATAATCTTAAGGTGCTGAGGAATTCCTGGTGTCTTTGTGTTTTGCCTTATGCAAGCAGGGTTCCTGGCCGGGGCTTTTCAAACCGGAACGTGGTGGCAGTCTTAAATTTAGCAAAGATTAAAGGCTTTTTGCCCCTTTGGAAACCTGAGGGGGTTTTCCAGGAGAGATAGGGCTGGGCTTCCCTCCTGCTTTTACCTGTGCTGGCTGATGTTGAAGAGTGCACTGGAAGGCTGCAGCACGGGTGCAGAGGCACGGCAGATGGTGAGATCCCGGGCCTTGGCTGCTCTGTGTTCGGAGTTTACCATGGAGGGCAAGATGCATTCGGTCCATGAGTCATTTGCTACTCTTTCTGGTTGCAGAAGATAGTCCTGCTTTGGGGTTAAAGTGGGTGGCACTGATCCTGCCAGGGCTCGGTTTATGGCTTCTAGCCTTCTGCTGGCTTGGCCTTCTGCAGTGGAAACATGGATCCCCCTGAGTTTTTACTCACAGAAGATATTTGCTCACCTCTTTACCAACTGTGGCCCAATTACCAACACAGAAGAATAGCATCCCATGTTTCCCTCTAGCGTCATTACCACACTGTATTGTGATTAGTGTGTTTACTTGTGCATTTCCCTGTTACCTTCGTTGAATGCTGGGACTGTATATCTAACATTTCTATCACCAGGGTCTAGTACATAGAAGGAAGTAAATAAATGGGTCCATTACCTCCCCCATTCCCACACTGCCAGAAGTGCCATATTATATTTTGGGAGCACCCAGCTGTAATATTTGCTAGTGGGAATTTACATAGGTCAAAGTGACCAAAGCTAGTTTTGTATACTTACGGCTAGTGAGCCTGACTCTGGCACTGGAAAAATAGCGCCTCCCAGATTTCTTCATTAACAATGAACAGGGGCCGATGGCTGCTGGGTCTCCTATCTGATTGAAGTTCTTGGGCTGCAGATGGCACTGGGAATGATGTGGATTTGCGACATTCATGCTTGACAGTGGCCCTAAGATCCTGGGGATCAATTCATGGGGCCGAACTGGATGCAGAAAATGAGGAGGGCCCTGTTCTGTGGCAGCCCCTCTCAGGAACACCAATGGGACCAGACTCATAGACTGCAGTTCTTGACTGCCCAGCCCGTCCTGGTGAAATCTAGGCTAGAGGAGAAGAGCAGCCCCTTACCACATTTCTTGTGAGGCTGGGTGGAGTGTTGGAAGAAATAGGTAACTGGAAAAATCTCTTCCAGGCCATAGCTACTATTTAACCAGTTATTCCTTTGGGGTTCGACAAAAAAAGAGGACCCAACAGGTTTGCTATGAGCCCAGGGAATAGTGAATGCAGCAGTTGTTTTCTTGGCCCAAGACAGTTTACTTATCTCCCATTAGAACCAGGGCACTCACAGTGCTAGGGAGAAAGCTACACAGAAGCCATTGATTGTGGTGGCCTTGTTATTTGTCAGTCATGAATTTTGGTTTACTGTGACACAAGAATATAGAGAGCTAGTCTCTTGAAAGTGAGAAGGGTGGGAGTTTCACTTTGCTGGATGTCATTGCCTAAAACAAGGGAGCTTGGGAACAGATGCAAAAGGAACCAACAGACCCTCTCCCAAGGCCCAGCATACTCTGCTTTCCCAGGCTCCACTGACAGATACCATCACATAAGCCTCCTTTGGTATGACCACCACCATGTGCTGGTACCACAGCCCTTGTTCCCTTGTTCTATGGGAGGCCTCGTAGGGACCCTCACCCGACACTCATGAAGTTTTTTCTGGCCCCGGTGGCTGGGGTGCAGCATGCGGGTGAGCTGCTCTACGATACCCAGGCTTCGGATGAGATTCTCCCTTTGTAGCAGGGCCTTCATCCGCTCTAGCTCTTCCTCTTCCACAATTTCTTGAGGCTGCATGGTGTCCAGGTATACTGGTAGCGGCTACAAGGTACACAAGAGATGAATGCAGGATCTCCAAGGATGAGTCCCAAACCATCTGCAAGGATGGCTGCAGGGCTCCTGCCTACTGTACATCTATCCTTTCCCCAATCCTTGTGTAAGGTTCCCTTTGCTGTCCATTCTCTCACCTCGTGTTCCAAATGGTCAGATTCAACTTATTAATTAGGAGCTCATCTCTCTGTTGTTCAAGGGGAGATTCCCTTCTCTAGTAGTCCCAACCCATTTTCCCACAGAAGGATAAGAGCCACAAATCCCGACACCTCTTTCTCCCTGTTCCGATTCCTGTAAGCCAAGTGGGTGGAAAGGCTCCGGAGATGTGCCCTGAATCGGCTCTTCTCCCCAGCTGATTCACCCTGGTTCCGGTCCTTGTTTTCCTTTCGCCTCTTAGTGCCTGAGGTCTCCTGCTGTTCCTGCTTTAGGCGGATCTCTTCCAGCTGCTGCCTGAGAAGACACAGCAGCTTCAGACACTGGAGAAATTGTTTTGGACAGAATGGGGTGAGGGAAAATGGGGAGGAGGAAATTATGCAGTGTTCTTAGAACTGATGAGAGAGGAATAAGGGGGAAGATGGAAAACCTACTAAACGGAAAGGGTCATTAAAAGTGTAATAGAATTTGGGGCCGGCCCGTGGCTCACTCGGGAGAGTGTGGTACTGATAACACCAAGGCCACGGGTTCGGATCCCATATAGGGATGGCCGGTTAGTTCACTGGGTGAGCGTGGTGCTGACAACACCAAGTCAAGGGTTAAGATCCCCTTACTGGTCATCTTTTATAAAAAAAAAAAAAAAGTGTAATAGAATTTATAGCTCCATTCCTCTTTCCTTAAGTGTCTCACTTCCTCTCCTGCTGGGGAGCAATTTAGCTTCAGGATCTCCCCCCTACTCAGGCTACAGAAGACAACAAGTGGCAAAGTACCTGGCACACTCCTCTCTGGCCTTGGAAGCAGCTGTCTCCTGGAAGAGGGAGCCATTGTGCTTGAAGAAGGGTGCATACTTCTCTGTGTCAGACCCAGGATATATCCGCCGGTATCCTCCCAGGTGGGAATCCTCATATCGTTCCTGGTCCAGCATTGCTGCATGGGATGACTCAATTTGTTCTCGCCTGTGGAAACCAAGCTCAGGGTGAGTCACAGGAGGACTGTGAGAATGTTTAGGAGGAAAAGGAACACTGGCTAAGGCTTTGAGAACCTCCTCCAGGCTTCCAAGTCTCCCTGTGGGGAAAGCTGCCAAGCCCATCTTTGGCCAGTCCCATATGTGTGTAGCCATAAAGATAGGCTTTACTTACAGAAATCTGATTTTTGTCTTAAGTGCTGGGGGCTCCACTTGTAAGCTAGCACTCCAAGTTATTACAGTCTTTTAGGTTTCTCATTTTAAGAGTAATACATGTTCATTACAGAAAGAAGAGCAAAAAGATTAAAACTGCCTAAAATCTTACTATGCAATTAGCATATTGGTTATGAGCATGGACTCTATGGCAGGACCTCCTGAGTATTTTGGGGTTTTTTTTTTTGGCAGCTGGCATTCAATATGGGGATCTGAACCCATGACCATGGTGTTATAAGGCTATACTTGAACCAACTGAGCTAACCAGCCAGCCCTGGACTGCTTAACTTTGAATCCTGGTTTTGCCACTCACTAGCTGTTTGTTTCTGAGAACACAGACTCATACAAGCAGGTACAACCAATATCCTGGCTCTCACTTGACAGATTGAGCCCTCAAGAAGTCCCAGAGCAGATTAGTGAGAAAGTTGGAAAGATAACTGTGCCAGTTTGCTTGCAAGTGACTAGAATTTAGCTCGAACCACTTTAAGTGAAAAAGCAGAAAGTTACTCCTTACGCAAAGAATACAAATATGGCAAGGGTAGGGGTGCAGCTGCATCTCAGGAACATGAGGACCTGATCCATCTCTTCTGTGCTGCTCGTAGGAAGGAGGTCCTTTGTCATGGCTCCCTGCAAAATGGCTTTTTCCACATAGCAGAAATTATGACGATCATTAGTCCTCAAGATTACTGATTTCCACTTTTTTTTTTTTTTTTTTTAAAGATGCCCGGTAAGGGGATCTCAACCCTTGGCTTGGTGTTGTCAGCACCACGCTCAGCCAGTGAGCAAACCGGCCATCCCTATATAGGATCCGAACCCGTGGCCTTGGTGTTATCAGCACCGCACTCTACCGAGTGAGCCACGGGCCGGCCCATATATAACAATATTTTTAACTTGCTGCCTAGTGTTCTATTGTATGATTGTACTTTTATTTAGTCCAGTAGTTTTTAGTCATTTTTCCCCACTGAAAGACATGGTTCATAACACACAGGTGCACAGTCCATTCTCATGGGAATACCCAGGGTATTTGCAGTTACACTTCCCCAGTCATCATAAAAACATTTGAGTGCTTCCTATGTATTAGTCTAAGGCTATGATGAGGAATTGAATATACACTGCCCATGCATATTGGAATGCATGTGGGGAAGAGTGATGTTACTATAGGAATAACCCTAAATCTACTCAAATACAGCTTTATATATCATTAACAAATTATAATTTTAGTATCAGTAACCAATTACCATGTTTGTAGCCCATTTTACAATACAAGCAACAATGGGTGACCAACACTGATCTAAACAATTCCCTATTATTGAATGACTAAACTGTTTTCTGTATTTCATTATTACAAAGTTTCACAGGAACTGGTTTGTAGAGGAGCTTTGTTAAAAAACAAACCAGCTAGTCAAACCACATAAAGCTCCTTATGTGCTAATATGAAAATAACTTGAAAATACATTGCTAAGCAGGTGCAGAGTTTGTGAAAGTTATGCAACTGTCTGAGTAGACAAGGGAGAAAAATATTTTGAATAAATACATGTGTATATGTGCATTACATGCTTGTGAAAGTATACACATGATACTAAAAAACATTGGTTGGGGGGCTGGCCAGCTAGCTCAGTTGGTTAGAGCATGGTGTTGATAACGTCATGGTCCAGGGTTTGGTCCCTATACTGGCCAGCCGCAAAACAAAAAACAAAAAGATACTGTCTCCCGGAAGGAAAAATGGGTAGTTGGAGGAGAAGGGTAGGAGAAAGACTGTTCGCTATATCTTTGGAATTTTGAACATATTATCTATGATATGTGATGTGTTATCTAAGAAAAAAGTAGTTTTTAATAGCTAATCAGCCCTAGGCTGCCTTCTCCTTGTAGAGGACTTTTACTCTCAGGAAAGTAACAACAAAGAAGACAAGTTACACAACTAAACATGTGTCAGATACATGGTGCACCTGGCTTCTCGTGGCTGTTGGTTGCATTGGAAAAGCCGCTGTTTGACTCGCCGCTTGTCCTCCTCCAACACCTTCCTTTTGTCACAGCCCTGGAGGTTGACGAGGGTCATGGCATCACAGAGAAGTGCATCTTTCACCTCTCGATCGAGGTGTGAGTCCGTGGTGAAGCTTGGAGAATGGTTTACCTGCCAGGGGGAGTCATTATCCACCCTCTTCTTAAACCACCTGAGCAGGTGGTGATCTCTTGCAGGCCTAACCGGAGGGCTTAGGGGAGACATCCCCCTCCCATGGCCTCAGCCAAGGAGGCTAGATGCTCTGGCTTCCACAGCCATAGGACTTACTGTAGAGATTCCTCCAATTCACAGGCTACTGAGGCAAAACAGACAGCCTGATTCTACAGTGATAGTGTCCTTAAAGGCAAGGCTTACATTAGGAACACTAGGGATCCCAAACCTGGATCCCTATGTTAGGGGCCAGAAACCACCAAGGGTTGACTCAGCAGGTCAAAAGGTAGGAATCTTATGCTTTCTGCTGGTTCCCACTCATCCCACAGTTTCCACATCCCCCATTCTCTGTTCCACCATCTAAATATACTATCCCATGTGTCCTGTTCAAGGAAGCCTCTGAACCTTGGTTTTGCAAAGCCCAGGAGATAATCCTCACCTCCAGCAGCCAGGGTTTCAGCTTGTGGTCCAGCAAGATGTCAAAACCAAGGATCTCAAAACAGGCACATGTACCTCCACTCAGATATTGGGGAAAACAGGTTCGGTAGTTGTGGCGAAGAACAGAATGGGCCGAGATGATAGTTTTGATGATGATGTCCTCGATGTCCCCCCACAGCTCCTGGGGGTCATAGTTGTGCTCTCGCAGCCAGGCATTGAGTGTCGACAGCTTCCTGTGAGGCCCAGTGCTCAGAGGAAGATCAATTCCTGTGCCAGTGGGGCTTGGCCACAGGCAGGAAACTCCCTAACACTAACCCTAATTCTGTGCCTGGGTCCTTGTGCTTTAAAGGGCTGCTGGCAGCTTGGAGCAGGGATTAGTTATCAGGGTGAGGTTTGGGACTGCACTTAGAGCTCAGGCACAAGACAAGGGTCTCTAAAGGCTGACTTTTCCTGGGCAATTAGCCCCTTAAGAGCCAGCTTGGTTTCATGGGTTATTGATACTTTGGGGCTAAGGGGCAGAAGGAAGCTGAAGGACACAGAGTGGGGAGTACCTCTTACTACCCACGGCATCATCCCGGACAAAATTCTCATTGTGTTTGTTGACAGCATAGTTGGTCAGGTGCATACAGACATTATCCTGTGAAGACAGTGTTCCTGTGGTCTCAGACTATTTCTATGCAGCCCTCCTCTCCAGCCCTTCTCTGCCTTTCCATTGCCCGCCCTCGCCAGGATTGCTTGTCTCCTGTCCCTCTTCACTAGAGGAATGTCCTTCTGTAAGATCCTGGGGAAAAGGGTGTGCTGGGCTCCTCAGGTGAAGACCTCTTCTCAGTCACCACCCACCAAATGCTCTCCTCACAGCCAGGTGCTGCGACTCTCACTGGCTTCACTCCTTATTCTTGCTGACGATGAAAAACCTCTCTACCTGGTTTCTCTGTACAACCTCAGCACTCATGGTAGAGGAAGAGAAGAGGGTGCTGCCCTGCCCCCTTACCAGGTTGCTATGGCTGGGCTCCATGTAAGGCATGGTGGCAAAGCGAGCCAGGCCCTCCCCATACATGAAGATCCGAAGAGGGTCACAGGACGTGATCAGGACGTAGATTCGCATGTCAAACTTGAGGCCATCAATAAGGAAGGGCTGAGAGTGTGCAAACCCATGAGGGAATAATAATAACACTTGTGAAGTGCTTACTATGTGCCACATATGGTTGTAAGTGCTTCAAATACATAACAACTCATTTCATTTTCACAATAACCATATAAGGTAGTTACTATTATTATTCTCAGTTAAAATGAGGAAATGGAGGCACAGGAAGGTTAAGAAACTTGCCCAAGGTTACAGGTCTAGGAAGTAGAAAAGCTGAGATTCAAACCCAGGCAGGCTGGTTCTGAACCATGGCCCCACAATGCCTCCAAGGTAACGGGGGTAGCAGATAGGGTGGGAGGCGAAAACCAGCTTCTTCGCTTAGTGTCACATCCATTAAGAGACAGTGTGAGGTCCTGCCTTGCAGGAAGAAAGTAAGAAAAGGTCGGGCCGGCCCGGTGGCGCACTGCTACAGTGAGCCGCTTGGGAAGCGCGGTGGCGCTCCCACCGAGGGTTCGGATCCCACGTACAGACCGGTTCCCGGCTTTGGAGAGAGTCCCTGGCTTTGGGAGAGGGGCCTGGTGGTCCCGAGGCTTCCTTCACCTTGGAGATATATTGCTGGCAGATCATATGCTCTCCTGGCTTGATCTCCCGGGGATTGCGGGTTATGAAGATGCCACGTCCCTGACAGCCACTGTCTGGCTTACAGATATAAGTGCGGGTTTTCCGCTGCCGACCGTAGGACTGGAAGTCCCCATAGCTGTGTACAGAGAGGGGCTCATCAGAAGGTTTCTGTGCATCATGGCTGTCCCAGGGCCCTGTGGAGCTCTTCCTGCTCTCTAGTCCCTGCTCTTCTTGGAGCACTCAGTCTCAGACCCACTTTTCTTTGACCAGATGAAACTTTCTCATTTCACTTCGATCCCTCTGAGGCTTTCCTAGGTCACAAGACCAAAGTCTGGAGGGAATCCAGAGGGGGACCCCTTTCCTCCTCCCAGTGTCTCAGCATGGGGAGCCTGGATCACTAACTCTGTGGGGAGGCACCAGGTGCGGGGGAAGATGTTGTACGCGGTAGGATAGAGTTTCTGCATGCGGTTGAGGTTACGAGCCAGCAGATCTTTGCGGCAGATTTCTGTCATGCCAGGAAAGTGGTTGATTTTCTGAAACACAGCCAGGTGGTTATACTGCAGTCCCTCACCCTCCTCCCATAAGTGCATCCCAGGAAGCAGAGGAGGAGGATTGGGAAGGCTAAGGAAGAAGTCACAGTGGAAGTAAGCACTGTATCTAGCACCCCAAGGGTGAAAATAGGAAGATTCCCTAAGGCAGGTGAGAAGCCCCTCCATGGCCCCCACCCAACACGCATCTACACCAAGGTCAGGAAATGAGGGACACTGAGAAGGGGAGGATGCTAGCCAGGACTTCTAGCCACATTCAAAGATCCTTCAGACCACCAGGACTAGTCCTATAAGAATAATTGATGCATGACAGCACAAAGCAAATAATAAGAAAACATTTCCCAAAAGACCCAGAAGAGAAAAGGAAACTAAGAACTAGCCCCAGGGAATGCACTGCCAGGGCCCCAAGTGAGGGTATGACATTGCTGTGTTTCCTGCTGGACCCCAACTACTGTGCCCTGCAGTGTAGGAGGCAGCATCGCATCGTGTGAAGGCTGGGTGCTCTCTCACTGGCTTTCCCAATCACTAGCTGTGTGAACTTAGTATTTCTGAGCCTCAGTGTCCCCTTCTCAACAAAGGCATCTGCCATTCAGAGCTGTTTTTGAGGATTTAATGAGGTTAACAATGTAAAGCACTTCACACAGTGCCTGATGTGTAGTAAACCCTCAATAAATGCTACTAATTATTGTTATCCTCACCTTACAGCTGCTTCCTGCATGCCTGCCCCTTCTTTGAAGCTTCTCGAGCACTTCTAGAACAAACTTTCTCTTTTGGGCTCCTCTCTCTAGTTGTAGGTTATAGTCTCCTCAACTCCTTCCTGGCTTCTCCCCAAAATCAGCCTGCATACCCCTTTTAATTACTTTATTGCTAATTACTACAAAGACCCAATGAGCAGATAATAAAAATACCATGAAGCAGTTACGTTCTTCTTATGGACCCTGGTCCACCTTTCAGAGTTAGTGATCCAGGCTCCCCATGCTGAGACACTGGGAGGAGGAAAGGGGTCCCCCTCTGGATTCCCTCCAGACTTTGGTCTTGTGACCTAGGAAAGCCTCAGAGGGATCGAAGTGAAATGAGAAAGTTTCATCTGGTCAAAGAAAAGTGGGTCTGAGACTGAGTGCTCCAAGAAGAGCAGGGACTAGAGAGCAGGAAGAGCTCCACAGGGCCCTGGGACAGCCATGATGCACAGAAACCTTCTGATGAGCCCCTCTCTGTACACAGCTATGGGGACTTCCAGTCCTACGGTCGGCAGCGGAAAACCCGCACTTATATCTGTAAGCCAGACAGTGGCTGTCAGGGACGTGGCATCTTCATAACCCGCAATCCCCGGGAGATCAAGCCAGGAGAGCATATGATCTGCCAGCAATATATCTCCAAGGTGAAGGAAGCCTCGGGACCACCAGGCCCCTCTCCCAAAGCCAGGGACTCTCTCCAAAGCCGGGAACCGGTCTGTACGTGGGATCCGAACCCTCGGCGGGAGCGCCACCGTGCTTCCCAAGCGGCGCACTGTAGCAGTGTGCCGCCGGGCCGGCCCGACCTTTTCTTACTTTCTTCCTGCAAGGCAGGACCTCACACTGTCTCTTAATGGATGTGACACTAAGCTAAGCTGCTTAGAAGCCTGGATCATTCAATTGGTCTTGTTGTTAGCTCTGCATATGCCCCACTGTCTTCTGCCTAAAATGGGTTCACCTGCCGTGAAGGGGGCCAGCTAGACACAGATGCCACCAGGCAAAGAGCAAATAATGAGATAGGATGTACCCACCAGACATTTCCTTCAGATAATGGGACTCTAGAGACCCAAAAGGAGAATATTTCCTTTGGAGCAGAAGACGCTAGGTATGGCCTTTCCTGTCTGCACAGGGGTATAGCAACAAAGAGTGGCAGCCTTGGGCGCCTGGGCAAGGGGATGGGAGTAATCACTCTGGGGCCTCAGCACCTTTATGATCTTAGGCCAGGACGTTACTACCTGAAACCTCTTCATGTCCATGACTCGTTCCAGTGAGACAGAGTAGTCCGTCCAGTACACAGTCCACTCTTCATCCTCCCCCACCTCCTTCAGGCCACACATTTGGGCTGCCCGACGCACTGCAAAGACAGGTCCATGGTACCAGCCTGGGCACCAGCAACAAGTCCTGGAACTGTAGCCGGGTCAGGTAAGGAACAGACCTGATCAAAGAGTGGGTTGAAGAGGGTAGTTCTTTTCTCAGCTCTGCAGTTTAGTTACCATGTGGCAATCCCAAGTTGATGAGGCTATCAGGGACTTTCCAAATATGTGGCAGAGAAAACTACAGCTTGGCTCTCTGCTCCTGTTAGTCCTATTTCTCAATCAGAATTGTTTCTGGCTGGAAGAGCTGACCCTAGCTAGGGGTCACACTGGCACCTCAAACTCTGGGTGACCCCCTGCATAAATGCCAGTGGGGATAAGAGAGGGGGAAGGAGATGGCTGACCCAGCTCATGCTTTTTTTAAAAAATTGGGCCGGCCCGTGGCTCACTCGGTAGAGTGCGGTGCTGATAACACCAAGGCCACGGGTTCGGATCCCATATAAGGATGGCCGGTTAGCTTACTGGCTGAGCGTGGTGCTGACAACACCAAGCCAAGAGTTGACATCCCCTTACCAGTCATCTTAAAAAAAAAAAAAAAATTGCTGAAGCCCCTTCATAACTTCCTTGAAAAAACTGTTTTTTTTTTTTTTTAAAAAGATGACCGGTAAGGGGATCTTAACCCTTGACTTGGTGTT